CCGACTGTTCCATCATCTTTCTCAAACTTGAGAAGCATGAGAGATGGAATGATAACAGCTTTTGAATTATTCAGGGTGGGTCGCCCTAAGATCATGTTGTAGGCCGACAGTTCTTCGACCACCAAGAATCGGACCACCATGTGACGGTCCTCCCCTTTCTCACCTAGGCAGATAGGCAGATCCACCCGTCCAACTGGGTGTACGACCCCTCCTCCAAATCCCACTAAGCGATGGGAGACCGAGTGTATGCTGTCGGGCTTGTACTTGAGCTTTGCCAAGTACTTGTTGCTGATGAGATCAGATGAACTCCCGGTATCTATGAGAATCCGACCAACTCTCTGGTTGGCCACCTTGCATTCAATTACAATGAGGTCGTCATGCGGCCCCTTGATTCCCCCGAAGTCTTCCTCAGTGATAACAACTTCTAGAAATGAACTTTTGGAGGTCCGTCCCTGGTCGACGGAGTTAACATCCAGACGCCTGATGTTGTCCTTATTGCCCCGGATAGTTGGGCCTCCCTCTGCGAAGCCGCCTGCTATTGTATAGACTAGCGCTTCGTCAGTATCAGAGCTTTCAGCAGGTGTCGCCCTCTTCCGGTCCGCCTGTTTCTGTTTGGGGTGTTGGGTACCCTTTGATTTCTTGACATAGGAGTTGAGATCTCCTTTGTCTACAGGCGGTCCAAGAGGCGCTTGAGGCTGATGCACTCATTGGTGTCATGACCAATGTCCTCATGGTAATAGCAATATTTATCTTTGTTCCGATTGTTGACGGAACTCTTCATGGCGGCCGGCTTCTCAATTGAGAGTCGGTCCTTGATTTCCTTGAGGATGGCATAGTTATCCTTGTTAAACTCATACTTGGGGGAGTATGGTTTAAATTCCTTCTTCTTCTTCTGGGATGGCTGTTCAAAGGAGTCGGCCGCCCAGACTTCTTTTCTCTTTTTCTCTTCTTTATTGGCCGACTGCTTTGGCCGGCTCTCTCTTCTGTCGGACTTTTTGTGGTCCGACTGCTTTCCAACATTCCAGAGGTCAGTCGCCTGAATGTAGGCGTCCGCCTCCATCATTGCTTCTTGGAGGGTGGTCACCCTTTTTCTGACGAGGTCGAATTTGAAGTTCGACTCGTCCTTCAGACCTTTGAAAAAGTCTGTATAAGCTACTTTATCAGGTAGTCCTTGTATCTGAATTCTCATCAGATTGAACCTCTTGATATAAAAGCGCAGTCCCTCTTTCTCTCCCTGATGTATTCCCCCCAGATCAAGGGTGGTCTTCTTAGCAGGAATGTTCATTGCGAAGTTTGATGTGAACAAGTAGGCGAAGGTCTTGAAATTGTTAATACTCCCGGTCGGCAAGTTGCCGAACCATTGCTGGGCGACGCCCTTCAATGTGGTCGGGAAACACTTGCACCATGTGGCGTCATCCAACCCTTGGAGGTACATAAGGTTGATGTATGCCATCAAGTGGTCTTCTGGGTTGGTAGTGCCATCAAGGAGGTATTATGTTGACTGTCTTGGATATCAGACGTAGAGGCCGACTCTGACAGTCGGTCATTCTTCTTCTGCTCGAGCAACATTCGAGCATCAGAGTATGTTCTCTTTGACCCGTCCGGCTGAATATGACGGATGGGCTTTCTCTTCCCTGGTGAGGGGAAGCGGTACTTAGTTAGGTCGATCACTGGCGCCTCCCTCTCCCTAAGCTTAGGGTAAGGAGTCGCCTCCCGATCCTTTACAAGCTTCTTCCTCCCAGATTGGGAGGGTCTTCTGGCCGACTGTTCCTTTGGTGAAACGGTCGCCCTTTTGTTGATAAGCTCTTAGATCTCCCCCTTGAAACTATTCATGAAGGTCATGAGTTCGTTTCTAGTTATGGGGGCAGATCCCTCGGCCGCCTGTTGATGATCAAGCGGCTGGCCGCCTGGTTTACTAGATCCAGGCAGGTAGTCCTCCCATTCCCTCCTTTCGGTGGGACGGGTGCGTCGAGCTCTTAAGGTCCCATCAGAGGTCGTATGAGTCTCGACTTCAATTTCATTGTCAGTATCCTGGTCCGTCTGAACCAGAGGGTCGTTCGTGGGACGCTTCTCACTTAGAATCGGTACAGACTGTGATTCCATCTCGAAAGTACTCTCCCCACAGACGGCGCCAAAATGTTTCGGGGTTTTTTGATGTCCTACGGGAGAGTTACAAATTCGAGATTCGATCTGTGCGCCTGTACATGCAAAACAACGGAAACTCCGGTTGGTGGTAGCTCCGCCTCCGACGATCAAGTTAGAAAGTGTTTTAGGAGTAATAGGTGCGGAAAGTAAAGGTGATCTGGTTCCTCTAAGGGGAGGAATGATCAAGGCGTGCAATTAATGCTAAGTCTGGTCTAGCAATTTAGTATGCACGGGTGTTTAGGCTTTTCTCTTGGTGAGATGATTAATTAATTCTAAATGTGTTTAATGAAGGCTAATTACTGTATTTATAGCCTAGAAATACGCGCCTAATACTAGGTTAAATGGAAAACCTAGGACTGATTGAGCTTGCCTCGGGATTCGGGCCCAGTTAGCCGTTTTCCAGGTTGGCAGATAGTGGGCCACGTGGCGTGGTGCGATTGGTCCATGCTGGACCTCTTGGAGCATGACACGTGGCAGCCCCTGAGTGGCTAACACGTGGCGGGTGCTGACTGGTCCACGTGGCGGGGAAAAATCCCCTAAACAGTTTCCATCTAAAAATCCGTTAGTGGGTGGTGAAACCAAAATTTTGGGATTTTTGGTGGTGTTATAATAAAACTTTTTTTTTACAGGTGTTATTATCAAAAACGGGGTTTTTATTGGGTGTTATTTTCTAATTTGGCCTAATATTAATTATACATTAATATTACTAATCGGAAGCGGCCTCCACCTAGGCATTCCGGTCACTTGACCTCACTGAAGAATTAGCTTTCTAATAATTCCAAACCTTCTCGGAATAATACACTTGTTGGAAGGGCACCATTCCTTTCAAAAACAAGCCCCATAATTCTTGGATCCCCCATTGGCCTACCTAGTCCTTGCATCGCGTCGAGCTTGAAATCCGACGTTTGAGTTCGGAAAAATATTTATCGATGTATTTGCGCCTTTTGGCTTAATATGCTCCATAGTTTGGTTACGCGATTAGGTGTGACCCATTAGGCTCAGTCAACAACAAGTTGTGAGATTAACAATATTAATCTCACTGATCGGAAGTGGCCTCTAGCTATGCATTCTGATCACTTGGCATAACTAAATAATTAGCTTTATTTATTAATTTTGAACCCTGTATGGGAAAAATACACTTGTTCGACAAAATGTGTACAGACAACCACTTATCGGTAGTTGGTTGTCGGTGTTACCATCACTGACAGTTTTTGATGATTCATCTACTATTTTCGGCCATCAGTGATTAGTTGTTTTCTTGTATTGTTATGTTGTGTAATCAACTAATCACAATATTAACAATTACATGTGCATTTAATATTCAACTGACTTAGCATAATCTAATTTGAAGCGAATTCAACTCTTGTTTATATGTCTTTTCAGTTGCAATTTATACATGTCACTATAAGAACTGAAGAAAGGCCAATTCAGGCAGTATTGTCATTCAGGTTCAATTTAGTTCCATCATCCTCGCACCCTCTAGTCATGTTTTGTGACAACATGTAATTAGCGATCTCATGAATTGTAAATAGGATACCTTTATGAATTAAAAATCGTAGTTGCCTTTGTCCTTTTCATTAAAGTGAATAAAGTCCAAAGCAACTTACAAGCTACTTACAAACTGGTTGGCGGTTGTGTACTTGTTTGTTGTCCTTTCAGTCTAATATCATTTTCGCATCTTCTTCCGTTAGGTACACTTCTTACAACGCCTACAAGTTGAAGCTCTTTTTAGACACTAGCCTTGGAGTGCATATCAGCGCATAGCACCTATTGACAAACGAAGTGTATAAGAGGGCAGAAGCGTAATTTACCAGGCATTAGAAAACTTGAATATTCCACTTAACTGTGCTAGTGGTACATTTAATACTCCGAAAATGTACCACTGAAATCACATGGGTACATTTAATGAAGGTGGTACATACGTTTTGCACTTTATATTGTACCACTAGAAAACCAATGCCATCCTATACATTTTCTAAGCACATAGGTGCTATACGCTAATATTTATTCCTAGCCTTGTATCAAATGATTATGTCCCATTGTTATATTATTTGATATTTATAGCTCTTAAGAAACGTATTTTCCTTGGTATTATGACCTAAAAAGGTATGATTTAATTAGGTGCCCACTATATGCATGACACATGTCTAACACTTCGCCATTATCCGAGGCTTCTCAAGATTTCGACCCCTATGGCCTTTGTGTGCTTTTCATTAGCAAATCTTCTAGTGTCACGTGCCAAACTCTGATTGGCATAAATATCGTTGAGCTATAAGACACGAGTGACCTTTTCCTTAAACCACATAGGTAGGGTAACTTTTGCCCTAAATACAGCCCTTAGAGTTATGTATGTCAAAATCCTTACTTATTTTCAACAGAATTTATATTTTAAAATGACTAATATAAAGTTGGTAACAGGGAAAGTCAATTTGTGGTATATAAAATAATACTCCCTCCGTCCGTTACTGATAGTCCCGTATGGCCAATTTTAAGTCCCAAAATTATAGTCCCATTTGCTTTTTTCAAGTACCATTAATATTAATTTTTTATCAAAATTCCCTCCAATTTGCATCAATATTTATGCAAATTTAATTTTCCCATGTAAATTTTGCTTTTCCATTACTTTCTCTCTCTACTTTTTTGCATACCCAATGTAAATTTATTTTTCCAATTTACTTTTACTGCTTATTTATGTTTATTAATTCCCGTAAAAATTGCCCATAAAGGACTATCATTAAAGGACAGAGGGAGTACTTCATATGTCTCCAAACTGAAGTACTTGTTTTGCCGTTACTAAATTTTTCATCCCTAAATTTGAAATTGAGTCTTTAAAACTTATCAGAAACGAATAATGATGCATCCACTTAGTTCCAAAGCCAGTAAACAATTTGAAGCCAAGTCAATAACCCCAAAGGGACAATATGCTTTTTTCTCTTCGTTAAGATGGCAGTTTACAGATTTCAAAACTCAACTGTGAGACCTTTCAGAAAAGGTTAAAGATGTATCACTTAATTCCAAATTCAGTAGACCCAAAAAACCTACTTCAATGGCAAACTCTGCCAGGAAATGACCAACAGTTATCGAACCACAGTTTTTGTATAGGCTTTCGAATTCGATGTATAATTTGTCGCAACAGCTTTAATGCCGCTCTTACAAGTCAGTATTCCTTGAAAATGAGGGCAATGGCACTGCTTCTTGTGGTCGAAGGATCACAAGAACAACAAACATTCCAAACATAGGGAGGATCACAAGCCATTTCAATAGTTTGTAGTAATACATGTGAAATGTAAGCGAGAATTCATCCGAGAAATAGAGACCATGGGAGTCCACCATTTCAATTATTACTGTACCGGTCGTCCTTACACTGACTGTTGGCAACTTCATACGATATTTTCCTGGCTTATCATACATCTGATTTTGTTTTATGCTCCTCTCTCCTTGAAAATTACCAGGAACAAGTAAGGTAACCTACATTAGTAGAGCATCATCAGGTACAGAAAACATTTATACAGGATCAAGTATACCAAAAACTTAAAAATACAAATAAAAAAAGAAGCAAACTTACCGTGACATTATATGGTGCTTGTGTACCAGATGGATGTCTATAGGCATCAACAATTTCAAACTCGATCCAAAAGTTCTTCCCTTCTTCATCGCGGAAATTTCTATGTGAAGGCAAGACATAAATCCCCTCCCGGTTGAATCGACTAGCAACATTGTTCCTTCCTTGATAAGCTGATCTCCATGACTATAAAAGCAAACTAAATTAGAAAAATAATAATAATAATGTTTAATAAAAAGCTAAAGGTACTAATTGTTAGAGTTCCAGCAATGTAAAATTCCCAGTAGCTTCAAATGTGTGTCTCAATATCTTCTCACCTTCAGCACATGATGCGGAGATGGAGTAGAGAAGCAAAATACATTTCCATTCATAGTTGTTACAATAAGATCAAGATCATCACCACCATCAACATTATCAGCCAAAACCATGCTGTACCTGTCATCGAACCAGTTGATGCCCTTGACGATTAAGAATATAATTATTAAATAGCAAAGATTTAGGAAACATGAAACAAGCAGTTCATATAAATCTTACGAAGTTTCACCAATATCAACAACATCTGCACAAGATGTTGGTCCATCAATGAGATATAAATAACCGTCAAATGAAGTTGTGACAATGGTGAGTCCCTTCTTTTTCTCTCCCCGTTTGCTCATATCAACAAGAAGAGCCTGATTCATAATTCTTCCATTTGCTCTATAAGGATATGGACGAACATGTTTCCCATCTTTGCCACTAAGTACATATATATTTCCAGATATAGTCGGAACCACAATATCTGTATGGCCATCCCCATCCACATCACCGATAACAGGACCCTGGTTTAGAAAAGTGTCAAGACATGAGGTTTTGAATAACTCATTCAAATTGATACCTTCAAGAACCTACAAAGCCTAACATAAACCAAGTTTGGTAATTGCACCATTCTTATGCAATTAAACTGATACTGGCCACAAGATCTGGGTTTTTAACCTATTACCACCAACCTTAAAAAATTGCCACCACAAAAAGGAAAAGTTCAAGTCTATTGATAATTAGAAGCAAACAGGAAATGACATCTCATAGACAATTCAAATCATCATCTATACCTCATTCACCTCTGATAGTTAGCCACACCCCCGCCCCACTCAACCCACCCAAAATACAAAAAGAGGAAACAGTAGAATATATATACCATGCTACATTTTTTTTTTATTGTAACACGGATACTTTTGGCATTTTTTCTTCTAATAAAAGCACATATCATTATAATACTATAATAAAAGCACTAATCTTATCATAGAAACACATTGGTACCTTATTATAATAACATAATGAACATAAAATACAACATAATAAAAGCAGATACGCAATTATTTACTCAGTTGCATGTAGATATTCATACAATCAGGTAATTAATTTAAGAGGAATAGTCTTCACAACTTGCTTAAATAATATTTTTATCAATTTTAAACAAAGTAATGAATAAATAACAATAGTAAACTTCATCCATTTCAAAATAATTAGCATTGTTGAGTTTTTGCAATTACTCATATTGAGTTGTATTTATATTAAGATGTAAAACAAACATTATCATGTAAGATGTTGCTACATTAATTTTAATGTACTTCATTCTTTTTCAATCGCAACATTAGATATTATACACTAGAACTAAAGCTACTTTGATCGTCTTTTGGGATTTATACATTGGGATACACAATTAAAACATAGTCATGTAAGATCTTGTTGGATTCGTCTCGATAAATAATTTCAAAATATAAACTTTATATAATTTTTACTATAACTAAAGATATTACATGTAAAAACTGTGTATTGACAAGTGTGAAAACTCTAACGTTGCAATTTAAAAAGCGGAGGAAGTATATTCTAATGATAGTAAAGTTTGTGTAACAAGAAAATTGATAATAAAGTTGATTTAAATATTTATTACTCTATGAAATTTGCACCCACGTCAATTTTATTAATCCTTGAAAACAGATATATGGATTGAAATGTGTAACCACATTTATTTTCTAACCTTTAAAATTTCCTTATCCCATAGTTATGTATCATTATTAATTGCAAATTAATAAATCTACTCTTAGAATTCACATTTCTTAATTCCTGTGAAAATTTCAAAACAAGCACTAGGCAAAGGGAAAAATATATAATTACCAAGTGTGGTCTTTCATTGAGTCGATAATAGCCATAATGTCATGAGTCATAGTTTCAGTGGCAAATCCACTTCCCTTGTTTTATGTGGTCGGTGCATTATGGCATTCTACATCTTGTACTCACTCCATCCCCAAATATAAGTCTCATTAAATTTTTGCATAAAAATCAAAAATTGCTAAGGATCTAGGGTACATGTCTTACATCTAAAAAGCACATATTCTAAAGATATAAGTACATATCATAAAGAGATACGTACAAACCCATCTTATTTGAAAAAAATTAGTATCTTCTTTGTTTCTTTGTTTTTTACAACAATTAAAGGTACGTGTTATTATTTTATAAGGTACATGTCCAAAACCTAAAAGGTAAATGTCATTAAATTATAAGGTACATCAAAAAAAATATAAAATCTACAAAATTGGAATTATGTTTTTCTTTTTTTTTTTAATTTTAAAGTACTAGTAATAAGTCTATAAGGTACATAAAAGGTAAGTATCATTGAGCTACAAGATACATTGGATTAAAAAATATGAGGGAAAAAAAATAATAATATATTTTTCAAAAAGGAACATTTAAAAAAAAATTAGGTCAAAGAATAAAAAAAAGTAGTAAATAAGTTTTCTTATTTATTAAATAATAAAGTGCTAGTAAAAAATTAAGGTACCACAAATGATAAAAGTTACATATCATTGAGCTACTAGATACATAACATTAGAAATATAACAAATATAAATATAATAAAATTAATATTTTTAAAAATAATTAAAAATTTGATGTACTATTTTATCTTTATGACATGTGTATACAATTAAAATGAGACTATTATGTAGTAATAAAGTTAAAATGACACTATTATGTAGGGAAGAGATTTTTGGAAAAAATAGAATTTTAATTTGGGGCAGAGGGAGTATATCCAATCAAAGATTGAATCTAAAATGTTTCTTTAAAAATTGGAGAACCTAAAAATGATACTACATAAAAGCCTCTCAATTCCGAAACAACCACCTATTTTGGCTTTCTGATGTCTCTCACCCATCATTAACTGACCATTTGCCAATTGGAGTTAAATTGAGGCCTACCTGAGGAATTAGACTTTTGACATGTGTTTCCCATATTTCCTTTCCTTCAGCATTCCAAGCAGCAACATTTCCATGTACATCAGAAGTCACTAATTCGATTTTTCCATCGTCATTAATATCTTCCTGCCACCACAGCTCCTTGAATTTCGGCCATTTCAAGAGGGAAATTGTCTCTTACCTTACCTGGATAGAATAGCAGAAAAAATGAAAAATGAACAAAAATGGCACATAGACAAGCAATTCAAACAAAAAGCTTTGCAGCCAGTAACTCTCTATTTCAGAACTAAGAATCAATAATCTAGCCATGTGAGCTTGTACTATATATGATATACAAATTATTACTGCACTTAGAAGATTGAGTCTTTGAAGCCAAAAGATTTCTTACAACAGTAGCTTTAGGTTACCACTGTCCATGATTCAAAAAATAATAATAATAAGGTTACCACTCTCCAAAGAGTGACTTGAGGTCACAACTTTCCTACGAACTCTCTCACAATCTGGCTGCCTCCTCCCTTCTCATCTCTCTCTACTTATACACCATTTAAATCCCTAGGATGATTCCTGACTAGCTTTTGTCTCATGTCCATTGGTGGCAACTCTTTATATTTTTAATAATATTACTAAAAAAATTACTATACTACCCATAATGCCCTTCTTTAGGTCAGTTCATAACTTTACCAGCCACCCAAACATCCGCCTCACCCTCAAGGTAAATGGATAGTAGTAATTGAAGTTCAACTTCCAGCCTCTAAGGTAATGAGTAATTCCCCCTTTGATGCCTGGTTTCCAATGCCTATAAAGCTCATCAGGAGGTGGAAGTAAGGTTTGGGTGGAGTTAGTCTTTTTACTTGGGATTGAAAAATTGTGGTTGGAAAAAATACATTGGACAATTTGGTTTAATCTTTGGGCATATAAACTGAAGGATGTTTTGGGTGTTTTGGGGTCACAGCTTATACTGAAGTAGTGAGAGTAGATAAGGAAGAATAGGGTAACAATGGTATTGAGAAAATCGGGTGGTAAATTGGGATGAAGTGACCTGAGTTTACTAAGCCCATTGGGAAGGCTCTTCTCATAAAATGAAGTGGATTACAAATAGGTTGGTGTTCTCATTCTCTCCATGAATAATTAGTTTGGCAAGCATTTCATCCTTTTAAGCTGCAGCTGACTTTTATTTAGTGATGTCATACCTTTGGCCTTTTACCATCTGGCCTCTTGCCCTCTTATGATATTTTCTGAATTTATCTTGCTCCCTGGCCAACATAAGACTGAGCAAGGTTTGTCCTATTCATCTTTTCTTCAGTCTCTCTATCTAGAACCTTCTACAAAGCTTCTTTGATGATTAACCAGGCAACCATACTTCACCAGAATTTTTTGCCGACAAAGAAGGGTGAACCACACCGGTACTGCACCGGAGTTTTATCCAAGTCTGCACCTGACCCACTTGCTCCTGATACGCCTTTCATGAATCCCCCTCCTCTAATCTGGCAACAAATTCTGGTAGTTCCACCTCCATACTTACATCTTCTGGCCAAGAAACTTGGATCACCGCCGGATCCACTACCATTGGCACCACCTCTCTCAAAATTCTTCCAGGTGAACCACTTAAGACACCATCAAATTTATTTCCCAATCTACTACCCTCAAAATTGCTGTGAACACCACCAGCAAGTCAATGAGGTCCACCATCATCTCCGGTGATACCACCTCGATTTCCACCAGCAATTTCATCACCTGCAACAACATACCTGATTTCCTCCTCCACATCTGGTGGCATCATGCTTGGTGGTTATAACTCCAATTTCTCTAGCTCAATTCCCTCATCATCGGAAGCTTGATAGTCAGTGAGTTGTTTGCACCTCGTTTGTTTCTGCTACCTATTTCTTTTCCTAAACCACCCCAAATCGGCTTGACGATCTTCTTTCTCAGTCTTCATTGTAGAAAATCCCAAATCTCTTTCAAGGTTTTCGATCGTTTTCTTTGTGAATTCCTTCATCCGTGAGAATCTCTGAAATATCTTATCATTTTCTGCTCAAATGAATGTGACTGAACCACTGGAGTAGTTGGTCGCACCTGCAAGGAGTCGCTGGTAACAAACCACAATGTTATGCCACTAATTAAACGGGCATCGCTGATGTTCACATTTGAACCACTGCAACACGTCTTTTGTCACATCCGATGATGGTAGCCTTCAATTTCGCCTCCTCATTCAACTGGAAAAAATTGAAGGAATCGTCTAATTGAAGAATCCAGTCTTCCAACTTTTAGTAATTTCTTCCATTAAATATTGGAAGTAGAAGCTCTCGCTGGATTCTAAGCTCTTCAACGCGATAAAAAATGCGAAGATCTCTTTTGCTTAAGAAGCATGCAAACTCCTCTTAGATCCATCTTTACATCTGCTACCTCATACTTCTTCCAGCCACCTCCATTTTATTTTTTGCTTGCGCACAAAAACTCAGCAACCTAATCTCAAGGAAATAACTTTTTGATACCATTTGTAATAAATAATAATAAAAAAAAAAAAAAGGAGAGTTGCAAAGAAAGATTGAATATGGTTGACATCAAACCAAAAGATTTCTTACAAAGGTACTTTAGGCTACAACTCTCCAAATAGTGACTTAGAGTCACAATTCTCCAAGGAAATATTCCATCCGTTTCAAAATAATCTCTCACTTTCCATTTTGTTTGTTTCAAAATGATCTTCCCACTTTCGATTTTAGTTCCTCACTTAACCTTATTATTTTCCCATATTTACCTCATTTTAATGGTCCTAATCCAAAAAATGGACCCAGCGTACTTTATTCTAAAATAATAAGTGGTCTAAATGTACTTTATCCCAAAAAAGGATGGTCTCATTGTACTTGAATGGTCTAAATGTACTTTTTTCATGATTTTTCCCTTACCTTAATTTACACAAAAGATTCCAAGTGAGAAGATCATTTTGAAACGGATGGAGTATCTCATAATATGTTAACCTCCTTTCTCATCTCTCTTTATTTATATACACCAATTCAATCCTTAGGATAATTTTACATTAGCTTTTGTCTTATGTGCACAGGTGGCAACTCTCTCTATTTATAAAAAATCTAATAATTAATAATATAATAATACTAGACTACCCATAACGCCCTTCTCTAGGTTTGAGAGAATTTATGTGACCAATGTTGACTTGGATGTCAATTCAAAAGGCACATGTCATACAAACCGTTTGATTGCTAGTGATTGGTTTGGCTAAAAAATAAATAAATAATATAAATATGGATAAATTGTCATGATTAATCCCAACTTTGGATTATTTTATATTAATCCAAACTTAATACCCTGTCCGCCAATAACAGTCACAACCGGTCATCCAATCTAATATTACAGGTTACAAGACACGTGTCAGCATATGATTGGTTTAAAAAAAATTAAAAAGAAATAGATAAAAGTCAAAAATTTTAAAAAAAAAAAAAAAATCAAACAAACAAACCAAAACCACCCATGGCTTGCTTGCTGCCGCCCAAGGCCAGCCCGACCCCCTTCCGGCCGCCGCCCAAACCCCTTCCCTCCCTCTGTTCCGGCGCTGCCAAACCACCCTCCTCTTTCCCTTTGACCATCGTTGCCGCATAGATCAACCTCCTTTTCCTTTTCTCTCTCTCCTCCCTTTACCATCGTCGCTGGTGACGGCGAAGCCTCGAGGACGACGGTTGCTGGATTTTGGGGAATTGCTGGCGGTGACAACGAAGCCTCAAGGAATTGTTTGGGGATTTTGCTGCCTATAATATTAGGGTAAGTGTTTGGGATTTGGGGTTGGGATTTTGGGATTTTGCTAGATTCATCCGGCGGCGGTGGGGGGTTAGGGTTTAGGGAGGGGTCGAGGGATCGCTACGGCCGGTGAAGGAAGGGTCAGAATCGCTCTAGTCAGGGAAGGAGGGTGCTGCAGTCGCCGATGGGTTGTCGTAGTCAGGGGAGGGGGGAGGGGGCAGGTGGCTGTGCGGTGGGGTGAAGGTGGTTTGGTTAAGGGGAAAGGGAGGTGGTTGTGAAGTGGGGGTGAACGTGGTTTTGAACCTTTTGGTTTTGGTTTTGGTTTTTTTTTTTTTTTTTTTTTGTCTAATCACATGACATGTGTATATTAAACTTTAAAAAAAAAAAATTACCTACATTATGAGTGGAAGAAGTATAAAGTTCAGATTAATAAAAAATAATCCAAAGTTGGGATTAATTTAGGCGGATGAGGCAAAATTGGGATTAATCATGGCAATTTTTCCTATAAATAAATAATAATAATTTTTTCAACGATAGTCACAAATGGGAGGCCATTGCCCATTGGAAGAGCAATTAAGGCATGTACAAAAAATTGGGATATTCACGATAAGCTCGTATTATCACGGTTGACAATGCTAGCTCTTGATGTGAATCAAAAGGGGAATTCTTTTGAAGAACCAATTACATTGATTTTGAGTCCAATAGTCAAGGATGGGTCACTTGCTTGGTTATCAAGGAAGAAGTAAGGGAGTTGTTACCAGGGTGCCACGCGCCGGCTCCTTGGCTCCGGCATGAGCCCAGCTACACGCCGGTAAGGGCGCGTGTCCTTAGTGGCGGCGCGTGCGGTGGTCTGACAGCGGCGATACGAAATGGAAGAAATTCCATCCTTAGTTTTCTCTAGAGTTTTGCTTGCAAGATTTTACCTTTAACTTGAAAAGGTTTTTCTTGGTTTAAGCACTTAGGATAAGATTAAATTTCTGTTATTTAGTTGTTATAAACTTCCTAAGGTTATTAGGAAAGTTTTTAGTTAGTTAATTAGAGTTGGATTAGGATAAGTTTTCCTATTCTAGTTAGAAGTAGTAATTTCTATTCTAGTTAGGATACTTGGGGAACAAGGTTAGGAATCCTTGTAGGAGTAGAATTAGTTGCTCCTATGTCTATAAATAGGGGTAATTTTCGTGCTTTAGATAGATAAGAAAATCAGATTAGTTTCAATACAAATTGTCTAACTTTGTTTAAACTTTTCTTTGCTAGTTTTCAATTCAAGGAGTTGTTTAGATAATTAGAACGTTCAATTCTTAGTTCTAGGAGTAGTCTAAGTTTTGTTCATCAAAATACTTAGTTCCAGGAGTGGTTAGGTAGTTTGAATAGGCATTGAATTCGTTCCGGGAGTGGTCGTTTTCAAATTCATATCCGGTTCGTTGTTCTTATATTGTTCGATTTTCTTAGAAAATTCGAAGGCTTGTGTTACTTGTGTCATTTTAGATTCTTTTATTAAGTTAAGGGGTTTGAATCCACATCAAATTGGTAGGGTTTTTGATCGTTTTATAGCTCATTCAAATCGCACTTGTTCTCGGAAAAACAGTTTTTTCCGTCAAGGCTCGTTCTCCTTCATTATGAGGTCTTTTTAGGTGATTCTTTTTTTGAATTTGGGTGAAATTTTGTCTAATTCTACCTGTAAAATTTCAGAATTTTTCGAGTTTTTTTTGCTATTAAACTGGACTGTTTTTCTGCAACTCTGTCAGTTTTGGTCCTATTTGATACTTATTGCTCTTTGTGTGCAAATTTTGTTCCAAGTTGTGCTGTGATTTTTGTGGGTTATTCCTGTGTGTTTTGGGGTCTTTTAAGTCTGTTTGTTTCACATAATTATAGAGGAAGTTTCAAAAAAACTCGCGGATGATTTCGCAAGGTTACAAGATAGTACGGAAGAATGTTTTAATGCTTTTCTCACGATTATCGCTTGATAACAAGAAAAAGAAGAAAAAACATGATGATAGTGATAGTGATGCTTCTAGTAGTGATGATGAATGATAATAATAAGCATAAGATCGATGATAAAGGTATCTTGATGATTTTACGGGTCTAGGAAGCCCGAAGATTTTCTTGAGTGGGTGAGAGTGCGAGACAATTAGAGAAAATTTCATGTTATAAGGGTTTGATGATACTAAATGTTTCAAAATTGCTTATATCGACTCACAAAGAATGCGGGACTTTGATTCGATAATTTAAAGGCTCGACGTGCTAAAGCAGGGAAGGATAAGATCAAGACATGGACGGTTTTGAAGAAGAAGATTCGTTCTAATATACCTTCCACATGATTTCGAACAAATCTTATACGTGAAACTTACTATGTTGTCACAAGATACTAAGAGTGTTAATGAAATATTTGCTGAATTTGATAAACTAACCTCTCTTTGTGATTTAGAGGAGAAAGAACCATTGCGGATTGCTTGATTCCTCAAGGGTCTTAATCGGCCTATTGCTAAGAAGATTGAATTGAGTACTTACGAGTCATTCAATGATGTGTGCAAACTAGCTTTGAAGATTGAAAGTCATTGGCTCGAAGATAAGAACACTTGTGCAAAAACGTTTTAGTACCAAGATCTCACAAGGAACCGAGACAAACATATATTTTCAACAAACCTATCAAAACTAGTTCCAACGTGTACAAAGGAGAAAGTTCGAAAAATGGAGACAAGAAGGTCGTCAAGGTGTCCAA